AATATCTTCCCTCCGATCTAGTGTAGTTATTGACGAGATCTCCATAATCCTATACGTCACAACAATATTATGACTCGCTAATAGTTTGAGAATCTGATGAAGAATTTATATGTATATTTTACGCAGATGACTGGAAGGACAACTATACAGCTCTCATGTCTCACGTCCTGCAGAAAAAAAAAGATGTAACAAATGTTCATCATAGTAAAATTAGACCTAAGTACAGTTTGTTTAATCAACAGGCATTATAATATATGTTGACTGCATTATTGAATTTTTAACATATTTGCTGCCAAGAATACATGTAGCTGGCAAACCAACTTTACTTGATAGCTATAAAATAACTCGTTACTGATAGCCTTACCTAAATCACCGAGAATAAGTATTGCCGCAGCATATGCATGCAGCGTTTTAAGTGTTTGCCATAAAGAAAAATGCTAAATAATACACCTGGTGCACCGAAATGAATCCTTTATTTCTCAAAATGTGCACAGAATAACTGAATGTTTAGATTGCAAAACAGAAAATAACGCATTGAACATGCAGGAGTTTAACACGTGTGAGTAATTGTATACGTAGTTCTAAGTTATTTTGTAGGTCGTACAAAGTGTAAAAATATTCTTTATTTACTGCTTAAAGTAATGTTAAAGTTATATTTAAATAATAAAACAATAAAAAATAATTTAAGAAACACAGGATCTTGGTGAGTGCGAACGGAGGCATCAAATCAGCTTTGGCAGTGAACATGTTAAACTTCTACAGCTGTAAAAATGTTTTTTTTTTTTTTTTTTTTTTTTTTTTTTTTTTTTTTTTTTTTTTATTAAACAGAACTATTATTTCAATTGTATGTGCTATGAAACTTTTAGAAATACTTCTTTATGATGAAGTGTCATTTGTTACCAGCAGACAGAATTCTTAGTATTTACACATTTTCACACACTTGCTTATTCCTGAAGTATTTTTTAAAACTTTTTTTAAATATTTATACTAGTAAATTTGTCTTTAATTAATTGAATGAGATGGTTATATCATCTAACAGATTAAAAAAAATTCAATTATCCCTAAAGTATCTGATACATATAATTTTTTTCTTAGTTAGTCACTGACCAAAGTCTAGTGTTAAATGATCAGTAGAAATATTGAATGCTTTTTTTGGGGGAAGAATGCAGAGGAATAGTTTTCATTTATATGATTTCACATGGAGTGTAGGCAAATAATGTTTTGATTTAAATGTAACTACTTTGTGTATATGCTTCCCCTTTTTATTGCGAAAACAGGTGCATGTACGGAGGCAAGAATAAGGTATAAACATAAGGATAGAACAAGAATCAGGTTAAACAGCCATAGGATCATAAATGCTGTACACGGTTAGCACAAATGGCACCATAATACTGACTTTTGTTGGATAATGTCAAAGAGCACAACATTATGTCTTACTGTGAAATAAGAGGGGTAATGAATGTTCTTGGTAAAATATTTTGACCACTACTTGCTTTTATTGTTCTTTATTTAAATTATAAAACAATAATATTGAGGCACCCCCTGAGAACCTAAACTTCTATATCCTTTCAAACATAAGTTTTATATATATGTTCTAAATATAGAATGAACTGAAATTCATTGAAATCGGGGAAAAATTTTCTAATACTTGCGCAACAGCTGCAAAATAAGATAATAATTTATTTAATAAAGAAATGTTAATTATATTATCTCCTAATATAAATTTGGTATGAAATTAGAAATAAAATTAGAATGCATCAAAATTAAAAAAACCAGAAGTATGAAATTAAATTCCGAAAAAAATTTTTAAAGGGACTTTAATGTGAATCATGAAAAATAATTCCGAAATTTTTTTTAAAGGTACTTGAATTTAAATCATGAAAAATAGAAACTTTGAAAAAGAAAATTAATAAACCAAGTAATTATCGTCATTGATCGGAAATTACTTGACTTTTCAAGGGGAACAAATCAACTCCCATTCAATGAACAATAATTAATAAACGCAAAGGTGTTTTGTCTTCCACTCAAGTAAGATTGATGATTTTGACTCAAGTAAGACTGATGTTAGGCAAATTCAGTTGAGGCCAAAATTGTAGTTCCAGTAAGTAATTGGATTTTTATACTTTATGAATTCAATAAAATACTCATGCAGATTCTTTGTAAGATCCATAAAGAACCAGCAAATTATGGTTATTTTGAATTTTGATCAACACATATTAATCTGTATTTTATAAATGTGATAGTTTGGAATGTTTTTTGAAAAAAAAGTTATGAAAATTGCCAGCTTCCACACGATACATAATTTAATTCACCAAACAGTGCCAGGTTGTATAAATATGTTAAGTAACAATCTGTTTAGTGAATTCTTATTAATGCAAATTTAAAATAATAAAATGAATACTTTTCTATATATTAAATCTCAGGAATTTAAAGCTTAGAATATGTAACATTATATTAATCTGGCATAAGTATTTTATAAAAAAAAAAAAAAAAAAAAATTCAACATACAGTATATGTCAGTCAAAGCATAAAAGTTATCAGAGCTTAAATGATGGAAAAAGGAGCACATTTTAGACACAAGAGCCCACAAAAAGAGAACGAGGGACCAAACAACAATACTTTGATTTGTTAGGGGACAGGGACAGAAATTATTTATAAGCATCAAGGACAAAGGCCTGTTTGTGACACTGAAAATTTTTAAATTCATCAGCTAAACACAATGGTTTTTGAATGAAAATGTAAATACTATTAACTATAACGTAACAGAGGTTAAATTCCCACCCACGACATCCACGACTAGATGAATTTTATGTTTAACCATTAATGAGTGTAAATTTTTTATCCTTACTATCAATGGGAAAGAGGATATATTGTTTAAAAGAAAACTGCTGTGAATTAACAATGAGCTTGGTTAAATTGCCCGTATTTTCATGACGCATTTCACACTGCTATGTTTTTGTGTCAATATATTCTGAACAGCTAAATTAAATCCTGTCTTAAAAGAGATAATTCACATATTAGAACATTAAACTCTAGTGAGAAGGGAAAACTGAACTACTTTCGCTAAAAAGGGTATTCAATACAATTGTTATAAAATGCAGGTGTGAGAGATTAACAACAGGGTTGCCACTCAAACAGGAAAATGAAATTCCCTGACTTTTCCAGGTGTGATTTATGAAAATTTCAGTCTATTAGTGTAATACACATTTGCTGTGCTAAGAGGAAAATTAATTAAGGTACCACTTGAAAACACAAAAATTTGCCAATTATATATGACTTTTACGTATAATTTATAATCCCCAAAGCATTACTATTATATAGTTATAATGTTTTCTCCACTAAAGATTAAGATTAGAATCTGTCCAATCTGGATTAAAAAAAAATGTCTTTTTTTTTTTTTCCCCCCAGACATTTTGCAGCTAAAGAAAAGAAAATCTATTTAATGATATTTTTTTAAAAAATTCAGGTATTTTATATTTAACAACATACATAAGCAAATATATGCATTAAATTTCATGTATGGCATTATATTGCTAGAATTAGTTCTAGGATTATGCCAGAGAAAATTTCCTGAAATTGGAAAGTGATTTTTACTAATAATAAATAAATTTAGAGGAAAGAAATAACATTAAAATAAATATAATTATTTAAAAATTGAATTAGAATAATCAACGATATTTTGGTGAATATAGTTACATTAAATGGTTAGCCTAGGTGACTGATTACTATTTTTTTATTTTACTGCAAATGATAAATAAAGCATTTATTTAAAAAAAGGCTTAAAAAGATTTTGTGGTAAAATCATAGTATACGCTACGGCCTTGGCACGATTTTGGAAACTGTTGCCAACACCAAAATGATACGTTTACTGCTCATCATAACGTTCCCAAAACTCGTGTACACGGTTCACGGAGGTTAGAATAGAATACATAGAGGCTATTCTAACCTCCATGGTACCCTATACTAGAATTAAGCCAATTTTATTTTATACGAGAATACGTACTTTCCTTAGTTCAACATGCACTGGATATGCAAATGCCAGTCTCTTGATACTCGCTTTGCCTTTCTAAAAGACAATTTGTGTGATTGGAGCTGCGAAATTTGGCTCTATGCCAGCTGGCCGAATGATGCTCACGTGATATATAATTTGCCAAGAAAGTGATCACTTCCAACGGCGGCGCAAAACTCGACTTTTTTTTTAGGGAAATTGTCGTATGAAATTCCCTGACTTTTTTCGGTCAATTTTGGAATTCCCCGACTTTTTCCGCTTTTCCATGTAGCGTGGCAACCCTGTAACAAGCTGAAAAATGTTTTGAAATTCTCTTTTGAAAATTTTTATATAATTATATATATTTCCTTAGAATTATCAATTTTTAATATTTATATGCATGTATATTATTACTACATCATCATCTAAGAGTCTTCTTTCTCTTCCCCCTTTACAAAGAAACTAATAATTATGAGTCACGATAAATTCCAGCTACATAGACATGAAATGTGATGCTAAAAAGTTTGGTTAGAATGGCCTTGAAGAATATATATTGCTATTTTAATAAAATATGATCCACTATCAACATAAAATTTGTTTGAATTAAGAAGACCGTGAAAAATAATCTACATTTAAATATGAAAATACTTTACAATCTAACTTTTCTACAAATGCTTTTGATATTTACTCACAGTTTAAGATCAAAATTTCATTAAAAATTTGTAAACAAATTATTTTTAAAGCTTTTGGGAATAATTTTTCAGCACATTTTAAAATTAGTATTTTTTCTAGTTTACAACAGATAAAAATTTGAAATCAAATGCAATAATAACCTGAAAAGTAAATCCCTTCCTACTCAAAAGAATCAAAATTTATATATAGATAACACCCTGAAATAGTTTATGGTTATTAAGAGAATACACATGGAATTAAACTGTTTCTTTTGCTTGAGAAATAAATGTACTAAAAACTACATCAACGTAAATTAAAAAATATTTTAACTAGACAATCATCATGGTAATGATCTCGAAGACCTGGCTCCAGTCACATTTATTAGGGCAAGAAAACAAATGTTTTGGTTCAAAATTCTAACATTCAAAATATTCACAGATTCACATTTAAGATCTGCATGTCTTACAATAATGGGATAATCAAAAAAATGAATATGGAAAAGCTACATTATGATTCAGTCTTGGGGAATTAAAAAATGATTTGCCTGATATTAAATTTGGAATGTAATTGAAGACAATGTAAATCGCAGCTGTTGCTAACTCTCCTTTCTCTGGTACTGATGAACTAAAGCTGACCTAGCTGTTTCCTCACTTCAGTTCCTGTCAAACTACAACGCTTCATTCTTTCATGCCCTCTCTTCTAACAGCTACCACCTACTGTGTAATGGCTTATACTGCGGAGGCTGGCTATGACAGTTTAAAACATCCCTAGATCAAAATGCAAGAAATTAAATTTAATAAATGGTTTAACTGATGAAAATTTCAACTACAATCGAATGAAAAAAAATTACTCGATATATATTAACTTCAAACAGCTGGCTAAAATTATATGTTTATATGCTTAAAATACAACATTTCAGATAATATAATGATCCTTTTTTTTCCCTCAAACTTCTTGACTGAAGAACTAAGAAATTAGCTTTTTATTGTATACTAAATAGGAAACAATTACTTTCACTACCAATTAAAAAAGAGATAGACAGAGAATCTGTTTACATAAATACCAGTTTTAAAAGCTTCACATTACATAAATCTCAAATTACATAGATTCTAATTATCAAATTAATTACATAATGGCAAAACGTGAAATATCAAGTTTCATTAAAGAAAATATTACCACTAAAAAAACAGACACTTCTGAAAAGCAATATTTTATTTAAAATTATACATTCAAAAGTACATAAAAATATATTTACAAGCATGTTCAAAAGTAAATGTCATAAAATATTTACAAATTCTTAAGACGATACTGATAAATCAAAACTGGAAATCAATTTAAAAAAGCTTACATACAATAAATAAATAAATTTCGCGACAGTTATTTTGTGTGTATTAAAAATTAAAGAATGGAATGAACAGCAATAACTTCATTATGTTACTAGATATTACATATAAAATGTTTTAAATCTGCTATATACGTTCTAAAAGCAAATGCAAAAATTATAATTATTGTCAGTATAATGGATATCCATAGTTATGCTTTACACTACCATTTTTCAAAGTTACTTATATCTGTAAAGTTCACCATTTAAAAAACATTACTTAAAATATCTATGACTAAATCTGATGAATACTAATTAAAATACCTAAAAAATAAGGAAAATGCATGAATTTATATTTAAATGTATAATACATCTACCTTTCAAAATTTTATTATAATCAAATAACTTACCCAAGACTGTATTAATAAAATTATCGTCTGTAGCTGCTATAGCCACCACTTCTTCCACCTGAATATCCACCTAAATAAATTCATTACATTTAATGCATAATAAACATTAACATATGGAATAATATATAAAATTTTCATCAAACACTTATTAATTATTCTACATATATTCTCTTGATAATTTTTTTTAAAAAACATGCTGCTTAATGAATTTGTGAACTGTGGTTGAAAAGGCTTGCAATCGTATAGTAATTTCATGTAGCTTTCGTTAAGACTTTTAAGCTGTTTCCAGAATCTTCCCAAATTTTAGCAAGTCTCCAATTATCCTTCAGATTTTTATCAGAGTATAAAACCCTGATTGGGGGATGGGGAAGAAGGGAGAAAAAAAGAAAAGAGAAGTTTGACTGAAATTGACTTCATGAGAAGTAAGAGACCTTTTATGTTTCATTTAATTGCCATAATATAAGCTTTTGACTAAATATTTCTCTCTACTAATTGATTCTCTTCCACAACCTACATTTAAACCAGTTTCCTAGTTTTCATTACACCCGACTCATGCAAACTTGTGATTTTTAAAATATTTTGACTTGAATTATTTATGACTTCTCAGTAACATTTGATATAATTAAATCTTCGGCTAATAGATTAACTACATATGCTGAATAATTCAAAGATTTAAGCTGAAATTAAAGATTAAAAAAAAAAAAAAAAAATCCCCTCATTTTTGCCATATTTACTGCATTATCAGTTGGGAAAAAAAGGGAGGCGTACTTTAAACCGCAACATCACCGAAGATAAATAAATTTTTATTTGCATGCAATGTTTAAGACATATTTTCACTAAACGTACATTTCTAGCTATTGTTCAAATATAGATGCAGAATGCTTGTTGATTGCAGGTATTTGACCAACTGTCTAGCTTCATACATATTGTTTTATTAATTAAAGCTTCATTGCATTTCTCTATTTGTTCTCGTACTTGCCAACCTACAACACTCAAAAACGAGGAGAATTTTCTCAATGACAAAAAGATCTTTTAAATAATAAAAATGTATAGGAAAAAAATATTTTTAATAATTAACTTTAAATAGTAACTGATTAATATCTGAATGTTCAGTTACGAATTTTTAAATGAAAATAATAACAAAAATACTCTTTACTAACGTACTATTGCATCATCTTGGCAAAATTTGACGATTTTTTACGGATGAGAATGTAAAAGTTGCTTAACATTGGTTTCGCACCTTCTTTTTTAGAAAGATTCCCAAAGTATGTATAGTAAGTTTGGTAAACAATATCAATATAGGAAAAGAAAACATACTTTAGTAATTCAAAATACAAATTAATATAAATATAAATTGATTATGTTATACATTAAAAAAAATAAACACATTCTTCTTAATCTTTTTGTAATTTTTTTTCTCCTGATTTGTCTCCAAAGTACAAAGTAATTTGTTTTCACTTAAAAAAAATCAGAGAATTGCGGAGACTCGCTTCATGTAACCTTTGGCAACAGTGGCTATCTTGAAAACGCATTTCCTCGTTGTTCCCTTTAGAAAATTTGAAGGAAAATTCCGCATTGCTGCTGAAATTTTAACGTAGTTTCTTCGAATACCACAAGCTCATATTTTAAAGCTAAATTTAAGGGGTAAGAGGTGCATCTCATAATTCAGAAATATGAATTTTCTTTCTTTTCTTTTTTCTTTCTTTCTTTTTTTTTTTTTTTTTTTTTTTTTTTTTTTTTTTAAGATGCCTGCAACACCAGTCTTCAAGACCACAAGACCATTCCTGGTGCTATGTTGGTACTAAGTGCGAATCCTGCAATTATCCTGAAGAACTGTACTTTAAAGTTTTAATAATTAGTTTGCCTGTCAACTCTCCTTCTAAAGAAGGACAGAAAGTAAACTACACTCAATTCCTAAAGACCCTGGGTTAAAAAGGAAACAACAACTGGATTCCATTTTGCATCAGTTTTATTGCTGAAAATTACAGAAAGGCAGAATGAACTTTTATCATAGTTTCTTCCACTGCTGTCGAATTCCACAAGCTCATATTTTAAAGTTAAGGAAAAAAAAAAATCACGATTTGTGTATAAAATCCACTGAAACTTCGAATACAACAAAATAGAAAAATGGTGACATTGCGTGATCGAAACAACTGTTATGAGCATGTTTGCCGGAAGAATGGTTATGCGCATGGTTCTCAGAGTTTGCCACTTTCTGAAACTTGGCTTTGGCTTCTACTAAGATGTTTGCAATAGTACATAAGTATCAAATACTCTAATCAATTTCGTATAATATTTTAACCAGATCACTAATTATTGATTGCAAAACATGAATTAATGAAATTCTGCACTGTAGAATTGTGTTGACAACATTGAATGCTGCCAAAATATACAGTACAAAAAAGCAAAAAGCTTTATCAAGACAAAAACACTAATATTCATTCTTCACAAGATAGATAAACTTACAATAATCGGAAAATGTGTCCCTTGTCAAGATACTATTATGCTTATACTCTGCAATGTTATTTTGAGAATTGCCAATTAAATTGTTTGCTGTTCATCCACACTAATTGATACAGAAGTTGCACCTTTTTCAACTGCTAAATTTAAGAGGTAAGAGGTGTATCTCATAATTTAGAAATCTGAATTTTCTTTCTTTCTTTTTTTTTTTTTTTAGATGCCTGCAACACCAGTCTTCAATCCTACCATTCCTGATGCTATGTTGGCACTAAGTGCTGAGCAATTATCCTGAAGAACTGCCATTTTTTTTAAGTTTTAATAATTAGCTTGCCTTTTCTTTCTAAAGTGGGACAGAAAGTAAACTACACTCAATATCTAAAGACTCTGGATCATAAAAAAGACAACTGGATTCAGTTTTGCATCAGTATTATTGCTGAAAATTTACAGTAAGGCAGATAGGAACTGTTTTAATCAATAATTGATGATTTATCTTTTTTTTTTAATACCAATTTTTTGAACCTACTTCTTTCTACAACTGCAGCCATTTTTGTCCTTACACTTGAGTATTAGTGATTTCACTGATGGGAAGCACTTTTTAATAAAGCTGCATCATGATCCGATGCATTCGGTGGCAGGTTATGCTCTATTAAAAAGCCAGAGAACAAGCATTAATAACTTTTTGGTTCTTTGTTCCCACACAGAAAATTTTTATTTTTTCGCAATACAACTCACGTTATCCCTGTGTATACACATGTTTAAGAACATCGGCCTTTAAACTGCGTGAAATCAAAAAAGTGAAATGCCAAACCTAGAATAGAAAAGTCTACCATAGACTCCAACCTGAAGAGAAACTTGTCAGAGTCAATGCACAAACAACATTTTCACAAATTTGAAAATGGACACGTAACGCATGTTGTAATTAACCATTCATTAATTTTTAATTAATCATTCACTGTAATCAATTTTATTACATTTAAAATCCATATACATATAAAACTGAATAATTAAAAATACATCTTGTAAATAATATGCACATTTTCATTTAACCCCTCAAACACGTATATCACCAAATCTACTAATATATGAGTAAAGCCAGTACTTTAAATTACTACTACTCATAGAAAAAATCAGAATCCATAAATCATATATCTTTATTCTGGATTTGATTTCCACAGGGAAATAAAATTTTGGTAACCAAGAATAATACATAAAAGTATTAAAAAAATACTTATAATTTACTAATGCAAAGATTTATATGTAACATGCTTAAGTTCTGATTTTGAGGACTTTTTTTAATAACACAGTTTTTCATTTGCCTGCATATTTATTTCTTCAATCAAAATTGCTTCGAGAGTTGTAAGACCTAAATTTGGTCAAAATTCAATCTTTCTTTCTTTCTTTCTTTTTTTTTTTTTTTTTTTTTTTTTTTTTTTTTTTTTTTTTTACAACAGAAAAATTTCTTTTGCAAGCTGCATTTGAATGAGGTATTAAGACAGAAAGCATTACAATAGGCAATACTTTGTATTTAATACACCCATTCATTTTTTTTAATTTCACAATTTCTCCCCATGCAATATCTATAAGGCAAATCTACAATTTCAAATCATACTTGATACATAGAAAATTCAATTTCCACTTGATTAAGATATTTTTCATCAATAATGGATGGGAAAGTATTCATCAAGTAAAAATAAATAAATAAATAAATAAATAAAGATGAAAATGAAACTTCAGTTCTCAAGTTGATGTGAGCAACTTCAGCATGTTTTAGAAATGGATCACTTAGTGGAAATTTATCTATTATATATGAACACGCAGTTACAAAAGAAGCTCGCATAGAACTGAAAAATGATTTCACTTTCATTAAACTTGGCAATTTTTAAATATAATCTTATTTCCGCACCAATTACTAATTTTCATTTTCTTTTTTGTTTACTTTACTTCTGACAGTTAGAGTTATGTTAGAGTAGCATCTTCATTTTATTTAGAAATTATTGATGGTTCTATGGGTTGATTGCCTGGAAGGGGACCTTGTCACTTTAAGTGATTAACTGGAAGGCCATGGCCAAGAAAAGAGAGGCCTGGAAGGAAGAAAAATCTTGAGAAGGTCAGGGCCCACCTAGGGCTGTCATGCTAATGAGGAAGGAAGGAATAAAATATTAAGGCAAGCAACATAAAAATCATGAGAAATTTCAAGAAAGAGAGAAAAGCGGAAAAAATATGTTGCAAATTGGATTGGCAGGACTACAGTCGGAAATTGGGAGAGTTGACAACGGCATTCTTTATATATATGACTTACTAATTTACCACTAGTCACCTTACTATCATTTAATAACTTACCAATTAAATCAACTTTAGATGAAGGCTTATATCCAAGACAGGGCATCTCTAATAATAAAAATAGAGTTTTCTACTCCATGAAATCATGCATTTTTAGCAAATTAGTTACCTACTTGATAACCCTTGGTGCAAATGATGCTTTTACAATATATTTATTTAGATCTTGCACTATACATTTTGAATTAGTGCAAATATCAGCAGATTTAAAGAGAGCAGAACAGAGGTTTTTCAATCTTTTGACTAACACATACCATATAAACAAATATTGATAACCTTTTAGTACCACCACTACAAAGTACTACTACCACCACCACTCTTGAACAAAGCTCAGATCGCATAAATTTAAGAGTGTTAGAAAAAAACTAAATCAGGATGTTGGGGTTTTGAGTTTAATAGTTAAGAAGCCCCTGGACTAGAAAAATATAGAAGTGAAACACCATCTTGAGTGTTGAAAATATCTTTTAAAATTGCATTTCTAAAAAAAAAAAAAAAAAAAAAAAAAAAAAAAAAAAACTTTTTGTTTAATTATTCAGTAATTAAAATTTTTGGCTTACTTTCATAACAAAGTTAAAGCTGATGTTAAGTATAAAATGTTAAAATTTTGGAAAATTTCTATTCAAAACAAATGCAAATTTTTTCTTATGAACTTTCTAAACCAACAGTAAAAATGATTAAATAAAAAAAAAATTAAATGGAAGTTAGTTACAAATTTCAGCAAAACTATTGCACAAAATATGAAATTCTAATTTTACATACCTCCTCCATATGGGCCTTGACTACGCTGTGAATATCCACCGCTTCCTCTAACAGGACCTCCACTGTAGCTAGATCCATAGTCACCTCCCCATCCTCCACCTAAGCATTGAAATATAAATACCACACTTTTAATTATAAAATATCTGAAAGGGAATTAATTATGTTCATAAGTAAATAACAATTATTCCTTTTTCCAATTTATACGTTCAGAAATATTTTATATGGTTGTATCTAAAAAAGGAGAGACCCTTTTTTAGATACAACCATATTATCACTTTCAGATACCTTTCCTCCATTTCTTCTATTAGGGCTTTTTTTATCTTCTGCTCTTTGAAAAATATGTTATTCTAGTCTGCTTGCTGTCCTTTCAAGTTTATAGTAAATTTCGTTGTAAGGAGATATACAATTTTCCTATGGCCTTTTGAATTTTCAGTTTCTTCAGCACAAGGGAGTTTAGTCAAGAAAAATGATTCATGATTTCTCTTGCTAAGGTTAGTCCTTCCTCAAAATTTTTCAGAATAAAATTAGTACCTGCACATTATTCAACACAGCTATATTCTTCGGACTCCATTTCATAAACTGTTTTGAACTTCTTTTCCAGTCATACACTCTAGTGATTTCTTTTTCCACTAATAATTCTTGGAGCATTATCTAGCAGTAGTAATACCTCAAAGCTCTCTTTTTCCCATCTTTAAACAATTTTCAACCTCTGGCATAAAACAGTTGAAATAAACAGTCTAATCTGTCACCTAAGCTTTTGAGCTTTATCACCATTATGATGGTAAGATGTTTTTATTCATGCCTTTAAGCACACAGGGATTAAAAAGATCTATAAATGAGCAAGGGCTTTTTCATAATTCCATTGATGTATTTCAACAAAAAAGTAATGTAATCCAATCTTTAGATGCCTTAAAACCCAAAATAATATTTTCTTTTTCTCGTACAAAGGTCACTTCGGTAAGTTTTTTTTTTTTCTTCACCAGAGCTCAGACTTGTTGGCATTAAAATCTTGATGTGGTATGTATTTTCTCGTTTTTCGATTAATGATTGAATTTTTTCTGGACATATTATGGCAGCCTTGTGATCAGCTGACAAGAATTCTCCTTGAATTGTTCGATTTCCTTATGAACTGCAAAACTTTTTTTGAACTTCAACCAACCCTACTTCTAAAAAAGTCTGGGTTCTTGCAGAAAATACTCAACATTATTAAAGATAAATTTTGAAACTCCTTTCTCTAATCACATTCCTATACAGTCGAATACTTTGTACATAACAATCTTTAACCCAAATGCTCAATGCATTTTCAATTTGTACACAGAAATGGCCTCCACATTTTGCAGATATTAAAGAATCTGTGATAATTGCCTTTCTAATTCCCTTCATTTTTTTAAAACCATTTTATAATTGCTTCCTTTTAAATTTTCTGTAATGTCAGATACCTTCCCTCCTTTTAACAAGAGATTCAAAATTTGTATAGAGAAATAAATTTTCTTCCAAAAGTTGTTTTCTTACTTTCAGATATAGTTTCGGAATGAAATATAATTTTGCAATAATTACTTCTCAAACCTACAAAGTTAAAGACTGGCTTTTCAACTCAAAACAATTAGTAACTCCAAAATGTTTAGTTCCCCCCACTCCCAAAAAAAATTACAACTACACAATTTATACAATTTGCCAACAGAACACTTGGATCACAAGATATATGCTGTGCAAACGATGGGCACAACTCAATTTCGAAAGAATTTTGATGTGAGAGAATGCATGCATTGTACCCATAATGAACAGCTATTAAGGAGTAAATAGGACAGGCCCATTTGGTATTAACATGATCAGTTACCTACACCTATAAATAATCAGACACAAGACACGATGAAAAATAAGCCGAGACAAATGAGACCTTTACAGCAGGCATTTCAACATTTTATTTTTATTCCCATAAATAAACAGGTTATTATTGTGTAATGGCATAGTAGGTAACTTTATTTTGTAAATGTTTAAGAATAAAAACTGTGTCATCAAAGCAAAATAGAGTGTTATAACGGGGTTTACACATATTAATTAACATGTCGGAAAAAACATATTGTTGTGCTATTAGAACATTTCTAGACTTTTTTATTACAAAATCGCAAAACAGTATTATAAAAGGAATATCTGTATTATATAATAAATATTAGGTACTTTTTAATAAATGTAGAAAAGTATTTTCTCACATATTCAAAGCCTAGCTTTTTAGTACCAGGGTGTGAAAATTTTTAAAGTATTCATGTAATTTTCCCCTTCCTCAATACATTCAAAGAAAAAACTACCCTAAATTTTAAAATGGGTTTGTCCTTGCAGTGTCTACTTTCGTTTTGCTAATAAAGAGATACCTTTGCAAACAACTTGCAAATGTCTTGCCAAAACTATTGAACTTTATGCAAGCCTAATTAATAAATAAAAACGAAATTGTGTACTATACTACTCCTTGATTACTTTTTGTAACAAATGAAATTCACAGCATAAAAATTTTAAAACAGAGCAATAAATACCTGATCCATAATCAGAACCTCCTCCATAGCCATTACCATAACCACCATTATCCCAAGTACTCGGTCCACTGTACCCATAGTTACTTCCTCCACCATATCCTCCATACCCACCTAAAATTAGAATTAGTATAATATCAATACAAATAAAATTATACACAATAGTTAAACTGATCCTGAAAATAACTTTGATCTTTCACAGTAATTCAAGTAAGTCTTGTGTCTCAACATAACTTTGTCAACAGCTCAAGGGTTATTTGCTTAAACTGCAATTAAGGTTTTGTTTCCAAAGGAAGGGTGGAAATTACTGTTTTCTAGTCTCCCTGTGTGTGTATGTGTTTTTTTTTAAACTTCTTAGGAACAAACATGCTGTCTCAAATTCTTTTAAACTTACTTAGCAGCCACAAGGGATCAGACTAAGTTATATGCTGAAGAAGTGCAGATATTCAGATGCTAAAAGCTACAGGTTTGTTATGACAATTTATTGTTACTGATTTTATGTTGCTAATTTTTTAAATAGCTCTTTTCTGGAATGGGACTGTACGGAATCCTTACTATTGTTACTGATTTTATGTTGCTAATTTTTTAAATACCTCTTTTCTGGAATGGGACTGTACGGAATCCTTACTATCAGAAGAAAATACACTTCATGCAGCATCTCAAGTTAGAATAGCATTTTTTCTCAGTGATAACTAAACTTCAGTCACATTTCTTCTGTTGAGGATTCTTAATTATATGCATCATTTATAATTGTAAACTATAAATTGACACTATTAAATATGATATAAAATCATTTATACCGCAGAATTTTAAAAACTCTGAAAATAATAAATGTCTATATCAGAAAATCCCAGAAAAGAAAACTGCATATTTCAGAAATCCTGCTAAGGAAAATACACTCAATATATAATATTTATCTACTGCACTAGATTTTGAACCCTCATATCTGTATATATGGATTTTATTAAAGTTGCCACCCTGCTTTGATATCAAAATTTGCAAAATTCATTTTTCAATCTGTAATGTGCAATTTCAAAAATCAACAAAAGCCTAGCAGGGGTTACTTAAAAAAGAAAATACCTCTCTATCTTGCCTACTGCTTTTACTGAGACTTATCGCACTTATATTTCAAGGTTAGCATAACTAACAGATACATCATAATAAAAAAAGAAATTATACTAATTTTATCCTTTACAGCATATGGAAAAACTTTTAACTTTTAAATTAAAATTTGGATAAAAAAATAATTTTGTTTACCTCCACCACCACTACTACCTCTTCCTCCATAAGACTTCATCTCCTTACTCCTTTTTATGTTGTCCATTTCCTGTCGAGATAAAGCCTTTTTCACTTCAGCCTTTTTCCCTTTAATCATATGTTTTCTCACTGGAATAAAGAGAGAAAATAAATTAGATATAGCAAAAAAATTGGACACTTTTCTGTTAAAGCGAACTTGTATTTTTTTTTCTGGAAAGGGGGGTATTTTCTCAGCACCAGGTGCATCCAATTTGAATTGTCTCTTTTTTTGATGGTAACTGTCTCTATGATCATTATTTGTGTAATCATGTTTTTCATCTAATGGTGTGTAGCAACATTTTCCCTCTTCATCTTTTTTCAAACTTGCAATTGACATCACAACATGGGACTTGCCAAGAGATATTTTTCACAAAGATTTTGTTTGAATAACCATCTCAGGATATTAAAATGTGACTTAAGAAAAAATGATCACGCAGCCTTCATTCCTGCCATGGTGAAAAAAGGTATTCAAGCACAAATGCAGTTTGCCTGGATCCTGCATTCATTTTCTTACTATCATATGATTTATTTACATCTGATTTCAAGATTTAATTCAAGCACAAATGCAGTTTGCCTGGATCCTGCAATCATTTTCTTACTATCATATGATTTATTTACATCTGATTTCAAGATTTAATGTCCACCAAAATCCACAAATTGAAGTTTACTTCATATGAATTAACACACATGCTAAATGGAAAAATTACATGAAAGATATGTTCCAATTCATAGCGATCTCATATAAATATTAAAATCGACAAATGTACCAAAACTGTGAAAATTTATGAAAGCTTGTTAAGAGGGGGGAAAAAAAAAAAAGCTATGTTCTTCTACTAAGATGGGTTTTTGGAGGATTCTGTCGTGAACTTAAGAGAATGTTTCCATGTTACTGTTTTCAATTATCTTAAATAGAGTCAAATGCATGGGGAAAAGTATAAGCCAAAATGCCTAGATGCTAAAAATGCATGGTATGATTTTAACAGAAAAGTACCAGAAATTTTACAGGCTACTAAAATTATTTCAATTTTACAACTAATGGGAAATTATCATAATTTTGTTACAATTAAGAGAATAATTTATCCAAAACTACTGCAAAGTAATTACCAAATTCCAGGGAAAACAAAGAATATACTAAGACAGTCATCTCAGTACTATAAAAAAATCATCATACAATATTTGAGTTATTAGATTTTTTTTTTCAATTTTTATGAAATACATAGCATTTTCAACTTTCTACTGAGATCCTGGCATCATCACATATTTCATAACATCTTTACCATTTATATTATGTTCTAGCAATATAAACATTGACGGTAAAGGTGAGACATGAATTAAAATTACTAGTACTCGTTGATTTTGCCAATAATTAGCAATAAATCACCAAATTTGGTGGTAATTATTGCTAAACAATATAGCAAACCCCAAACCAATATCAAGTAATAAAAACTGCAAAATCGATTTTTTTGCATGTGCTTTCATGGTGTAATTGGAATCCCATCTAGCTGCCAATAGGAGATTTGGAGTTTGAATCCTGGTGAAGACATTGCTAATACATTTTTCCTGCTCCAAAATAAACCAAATGATTCTCCAAGTAGTGCCTGAACTAAAATGGATGGACAATAATTTATAATGATAATAGTTTGATAATTGGAAAGAATAGGAAGAATTTTTTCCTTCTCATCGCATGTTTAGTTAGAAATAAAAGTTCCGGAGTTTAAATCCCAATGCAGGTGAATCTGGTTTTCTCGTGTTTTCCGACTTCAGAAAAAATTTAAATACACTAGCTAGAGTCCACTCCTTCCCAGTTACCCTTTAAAAGGAGAAGAATGTAAGAAATTTTCTTTCTTTATGTCTTCGCAATGTAACTGGAAGCGCGCCTAGCTGACAATCGGAAGGTCCAGGTCTGTATACTGGAAAAGGCATTGCTGATTTTTCATGTTTTCGGCTTTGAAATAAACATAATAACTCTATACTGCTTTTTATAATATATCAGTATAGCACACAAACTTGGTGTTTTTGTTACCAGTAAAACTGGTATATATAATCATGCTTTAAGAAAAACTGTTAAAGCTTTTAACTTGTAAAGAATTTTTAAACACTACCACCCTGGATCTTTTAAAAGCATTTAAAAAGTTCACAGTTTTAAAGCTTAATAAGAATCCTTCAAATGTTCCACTGTTCAATGCATTACATCTTGAATACAATTTGTCATTCTATGTTACAGTTTCATTCTTCACTTTCAGTTACAGGGACAAAACTTCTTTGTAAGGTCAGCTACATGATTTGAAACAAATGATGTGATTAAAAAAAAAAGGGGGAGGGAGGGTAACAAAAATTTCTTGAATTTTTTTATAACCATTGATTTACAAATAACTAATAATACAAATTTTTTCAATGCTGTAATATTACATTCAAATAAGAGTTCATTTTTAAATCTAATAAAATGAAAAGTACCTTAATATTACTTAATAAACTGATCCCCAGCCTATGTCAAGATATAATCTCCCCAACAATATATCAACCCAACAGCTTATAATCAGCATGAGCTTTTCCACTATGAACTAAAATGCACCAATGAAACATTATACAGCAAAAAATGAAAAAAGAATTCAGTTACTACGACACTGCTGGCTATTAAAATTGCTACATGCAGGCAACATTTTAAAACATGAAATTTGGATGAAAGGTACTACATGTTGGAATATGCAAATGATAAACATTCAAGTGTGAGTAACATCATCTACACCCACAAATGGGAAGATAGCACAGTGTGTTCTTATTTAGAAATCGGATTTGTGCACTGGTTGTGTAAAGGTCCTGTTACGTCTATTGTAAAGAGAAACTCCTAGTCACAATTTGAAAATAGCAGAATAGTAGCTAACTGACTCTACGGTTTATAGTTTCACAACACTGCTTTTTGGGAATCTATGACTGTCAAGCAAATATGGAATTTATGGGTCCATAAGAATCAGTCATCCTTAACACACAGGATCTCAGCGGCAAATGGTTACTAACACCTGAGAGCAGAGACATGTCATTCTCTCGGCCTTGCTAGACAGCATAACTATATCACACATATTCATTTAGATTTTTGTTTCCAAATTTCACAGTTAAATGTTAATTACATATTTTAAAACCATTAGGCACTTAATTAATATAAAATTGGGACAATCTACTACATACAAGCAATATAAAGAAAGCTTGGATATGGAATTGATATTATTCATGACTTGTATATATTTGAATATAATAATTAATTTATACTTACACACAACTTTATCTACTGGATCATAGTCATCAAATTCTACAAATGCAAATCCTCTTTTTTTCCCAGTATTTTTATCTGTAACTATGCTAACACTCACTATGTTACCATATGGGCTGAAATAATCTCTTAAATCATCCTCTTCAACATCATCTTTCAATGCTCCAACAAACAGCTTTTTTACCGTCATCTGTGCCTCAGGTTTTCCAGAATCCTTAAAATTAAAGAAATGGCATTCATAACATGGTACAAATATATGACTATATCCTTCTTCATTTTTAGTTCAGCATTACACAAAATATAAATTACAATCCAAAGCAAAAATATATATATAAATGCATAGCTTCTTTATGTACATGAATACAAAATAACTGAAATTTAAATAAAAGGAAATGTTTACAATTGAACGAAATCATATCACAGTTTCAAAATTCAAGTTTAAATCTAATTCAGAATTTTAATAAAAGCATACGTTATAATATACTAATTATCTGCCAATGTTCGGAGTACTTTTTTAAAATATATATTTAATCAAAATTTGATAAGAGATCATGAAAATAAGTAAATTTTTAGGAACATTTTCATAAATTTTTTAAACAGATGCAATTTTATGTGAATTATTAGGAAAATTAAATACTTATGTTAGATATCATATATTTTAATGTCATTTATACTGTATATTACTACAATATTCATCTGTGTTACGATATTTCTAAAATTTACTAAAACATGTGAAATTGCATGGGGGAAAAACCCCAGTTTTTTATAAAATATTTCTTACAATTTTATATATAAATCAACCAAATTAATAGATAGAACTTCGATATTAACTTAAAACCTAGTAAACAATATAGAAAACACTTTACTAAAATTTCATCAAAAAATTTTAGCAGTTTTGATATTTCTTTAACTTATTACAATAATTTTACAATTACCAAATATTTTTACACAATGTATCTGAAAATAGATAAAGATCAGACAAAGAATAAAACGAAAACGTTTCGATGCATTTCTTTTATAATATAAACGTTCATTTTCCTTGCTTTGCATGTGACGCTGTCATTTCGTCTATTACCAATTTAAAATTTTCACATTGTTCTATGTATCAAAATTAGAAATTAAAGTTAACGACCTAAAACTGCAATAATATATAACAGTACAAGAGAAAAAATTGACAGTTTCACTCATGCGTGTGCCGGATTTGTGCAATACTTGTGGGATACTACAAAATGTTTATTATGGGGTTCTGGAGGCTCACGAAAAAATCTGTGATAAAAAGGGGTCGTGACTAAAAAAAGTTTAAGAAACCCTGGTATAGAGCAAAGATTAATTTCCTTTTTTATGTTATTTCATTGTTTAATTTAAAATGTAATTTATTGAGATTATATATTTTTTTGTTGGCTGCTCCTCTGACTTCGATGTGTACATAGACAAACTCAAGGGAGTGCGCAAAGCCTACTTAGTGCAAATCTCTGATGTTTTTTTAAGTTAAAATAGGTCGATGTGTACATGGATAAAGGGAGTGTGCAATGCCATTTTTGGGCAATTCTGTTTTTTTTCAAAGTGAAAATAGATCGATGTGCATATGGATACCAAGTTAGTGCGTTTGTCTTGTTATTTTGGCTTTGAGTGAAACTTAACGATTTTTGGCGGTACAGATACCGATTTTATGCAATTCTTTGACTCGTTATTTTGGCTTGCGAAACGGCAATTTTTGACACAAAGCCAAAATAACAAGACAAACAATTGCACAAACTCGGTATCCATGTACACATCGACTTATTTTCATTTAATTGCGCACTCCTTTGACTTTATCCATGTACACGTTGACCTATTTTCACTTGAAAAAAAATCGCAGAATTGCACAAACTTGCATTGCGCACTCCCTTTACTTTGTCCATGAACACATCGATATATTTTCACTTAAAAAGTCAAAGGAGCACCAAATTCTACAATATAGGCAAACAAAAAATACATAATCTCAATAAAATACTTTTTAAACCAAATAAAATAGCATAAAAAAGGAAAAACATGCTATGCATTTAAGCACTACCAAAAGCAAATATTCACTCACCATGATTTTCGAATTCGCTTTGTACACCCAGAGCCACGTAAAAATCAAAATATCAATCATACTCAAATGACTTTTTTCAAACCAGGTACTTTTTCTGATTGAACGCTTCACATAGTGACCATCTGAACCTTTCTTCCTACAAACCCATTCAAATCCATCTAAACGGTTTTTACGCTCGACTAGACGCATATCCTTCCTACATACAGGACACTTATTATGGCAACAAAGTAAACCTTTATTTACACACCAGTCAATTAAAGCTCTTTTCCCCTTTTGTTCCAAATTCTATTCCTATTTAACAGACAAACACTTTTAATATGTGCTTCAACAACACAAATTCCACTAGCCAATAGACTATCAATATGTCACAAGGACTGCTAATTGACCTGGCAATACTTAATATTTCTGTGAATGACACACCTCACACGTACAAAACTACACTTACCATGTATGCAAATGATATTGCAATCCTCAGTCAAAGTAATTCCATTACCTCAGTAATCCAACAGTAACTATCTCATGCATTACAACTCTGGCTTCCTGCATGGCAAATTATTACAGTCAAAAGTCTTTAATCCGGACCTCAAAGCTACAAACTTTCGGCGCATGCGTAAACGCAATTGCGCAAAAGTATTATGGGCATATACGTTTAAGCATGCGTGTTTAATGTATAACGGATGGTATAAGCTATGCTAAAATTATCTAATTATCTATTTCAGTTAATGTTGCAGATTGCATTGTTCCTTAATCTTCTAATTGGATCCGGCTTATTATTTTTTGCAGCAATTTTATAAAACTAAGCTTGAACTTTCGATTATGCCAAAAAGAATTTCCGATTCTGGAGCTGCCAAAGGATCTACAAAGCGAAAGCATGTTTCGATGACCCGCTGTCATAAGAAATAGTGCCCCGCACCATCACATTAGGAATTATGGCTGTATGCCTTTGTAAAACAGACTGATTGGGACCGCTGGCCCTGCCCTCTCTAGACACGAACATGGTGGTCATCTGCTTCAAGAGTGAAGCGGGATTCATTGCTAAACACTAGGATGCCAGTCTGATCGGCTGCAACATCACTTCCAACGATTCCGCAAATGTTGTGGGGTCAAAGGCAAACATCTTAAAGACCTGCGTGAGCGTAACCCAGCCTCAGACAAGTGCAAGTGAGATGGTAGGCGGTACCACAGAAGGTATAGACGTGGCTTTAGTGTGTTGAATAGTCGACAATAGTACCGTTGGGGCAGTTTAGGCTTGGCAAAAATCATCCTGTTTTGCCTCTCATTTGTGGTCCTTGGCCTTCCAGAGCCTTCATTTTGTCGGCAATTTCGTTGTAGCAACCATTGCTGCCAAAACTCTTTGCACAGCAGTGTCTGTACGCTGCAGGTGACCGCCTATTGCTCAGTATGACCACCCAGCTTCACGTAACCCTACAATGCGACCAAGTTCGAAGTTGTTTAGTTGTCTGTAAGGTCTTTGATATCGTCGTAATGGCATCTTTAGTTGCTTCTTTACGGAATTACAATGGCAGCAACAAAAAAAGATAAATTTTCCGCCTCTGTTAATGGTTTTGAACTTTGCGAATTGCGCACTAGAAATGCATACTATGATCGCAATTCCTGTCCATTTGCATGTTTGATTAAGACGTTTTTGCATACCAAATTTCGTCACAATTTGCTTCTTCTTCTTTTTTTTTTTTTTTTTTTTTTTTTTTTTTTTTTTTTTGCAAAAGAGTATATACGAAATATAATCTCTAATAATTTATTATTATTATAATTAATTTCCCTTATAAGCAGTATTAACATGACTTCTAAAATCAATAACCAAAAACTGGAAGATAAAATTATATGGAAACATACTTCTCTTGGTACAGCACGCTTGGGCTCCACTTCTCGTCCATCTACTTCGTGAGGTCTAGCTGCTTGAGCATCATCAACCATATGAGCTCTTTTATATGTTACAAAGCCAAATCCTCGAGATCTCCGAGTATGAGGGTCTCTCATTACTACACAATCAACAATTTCACCCCACTGCTCAAAATGTGCTTTTAAAGATTCTTCTCCAGTTTTGTAATTTAAGCCTCCAATGAAGAGCTTACGAAACTGTTCTGGTTCACTTTCACGCTAAGAAAATATAAAATATCATTTATGAGAAAGCTAACAGTTACAAATTTGCAGATATAAAAAAGTCAAAATCAAGCTAATGTCTGGCAATTATATCCCTGCATTCTTTTTTTATTTCTTGCTTAAAAAAATACAGTGCAATATAACTTTAGTAATTGGTAATTTTTTAAGAACAATATTAGGTATTTCCTTATTATAGTGCCCAAAAATTGACTCGCTAAGCAACTGAGATATCTCGCCACATGTTTTTATATATCTTGTTACATATCACATCTCAGCTGACTAGTGAGTAAATTTTTTTCACGGCTATAAGAGTCTGCATCTAACACATAAGATGTAAAACTCTGAATTTTCATGATGTATTTTCTAATTTGATTTTTTAAATATGTTGAATACCTGATTTGATACTTTTCTGTTACGCACCCGCAATTCATTTTGGAAGTACTACCAGAATAATATATATATATGTTAAGGGTGTTTAATTATCCGGTAAAATCCTAGTGTAGAGTACGAGCTTGGTGCGATTTTGAAAATTGTTGCCAACACCAAAATGACTCATTTACTGCTCATTGTAGTGTTGGTAAATCCTAAGATTAAAGTTGCAATATACTAGGATTAAACCAATTAGCATTGTTCACACACTAGTCCCCCCCACATGGTACACTTGTGTCTCAGCATGTTTTTGCCTTCTTTTTTACAGGGACCAAAAAGCGTGGCAGGTGCATAACGAAGATGTACCCTTCATTTAAACATACAAAACTACTATAACTCTGGGCTATAACTTCAGGTAAACTGAAGGCCGATAAATTGTTTTTCCTCTTCCATTTATTGTAAGAAATGTACTAATTGTCCTAGTTTGGCCTAAAGTGCAGAATCGCCCACTTATTTGATTAGCGCTTTTTACAAGAGTAAGAATTGGATTTTTGTCAGTTTTCTTTAACTTTTTAAGCGAAAATAGATCGATGTGTACATGGATAAAGTCAAGAGTGTGCGCAATACCATTTTTGTGCAATTCTGGGATTTTTTTTTAAAGTGAAAACAGGTCGATGTGTACATGGATACAGAGTATGTGCAATTCTTAAAAACGCGCCAAGCAGTGGGCGATTCTGCACTTTCCCCACTAGTACTAAATTTACAGCATTACTTAGGAACTGAGATTAAGTACAGAGGACATGGGTAGAATTAAGGGACAGATTGAAAAACTCTTCATTCACAACCAATCTTAAATCAAAATAACTTTTTTAAAATTCAGCGCACGTCACGTATTTTAAGTCTAAAAAACAGTACAGTATTGATTAAAGCGATCTATGGCTACCTTGATTCGTAATAAAAGCAAATAGAATTCATAAAAAATGCAAACACATAAACAAGATTTTAGTCTTAATCCAAGAAAACACATTGCTTTTTTTTTTAAATTATACACTTTCATCTAAACCTTAGTCAATACATTAACACATAACAGACATTAAGGTACGACAAAATATATTTAAAATGATAATATATCAAGTATACAGCTATAATGTTATAAATGATAATATATATTATACAGCTAAATATAATGTAAATTATACAGCAACTAAGTGAACAGATAAGAAAAATTTCAGCGGAAAACAATAAAGACAAGGGAAATTTCAATGTTGTCATTTCACAAGCTACGTCTCTACTGCAATGCATAAATAAATTAGCCATTTTCATACAATCAATAAGCCGATTCTACTTTTTAAATTAAAATATATAATTTGAGATCATAAAACATAGCCAAATTAAATCTTTGCGTCATATACTTACATCAGAACTCATTTTAATGTTTTTCTAAAGTTTTACTAGCTTAATTAATCAATTTTACTTCTTATCGTTCTCAAAAGAATACAGAAACGGTGAAAACGATCAAAGGAAGGGGGATCAGGATGTGTCTACTTATCCGACGTTATACAGTTACTCAAACCGCAGTGGAAATGCTAAAAGTCTGACTAAGCTGCGCAGAGACATGTTTTTCGAAATTTGCGCTTTAGCATAGTTCCATCTATTCTAAGCTCCATGGTTCTAATCAGAGAATATGAATAGATTTCGTATTCAAATTCTTTGCTACAACCCAGAAAATCTCGAAGATCCGAAATCTGTCGCCAAATAATTTGGTTTGGTTGGTAAGTTATTGGCAGAGATATTCTTACAAAAAAAATGTTCTTTATAATTTGAATTTAGAGTAGCAAGCGAACCATTATTGATATTTTAACGTTATATTAGCACAAATTTTTTGTTTTTGTTGATCAAATGGGACCCGTTCTTTGGACTCTCTCGCCTCCCCTAAATGGAACCCTCTCATTGGTTATAATGAATGTCAATCACGCATGACGTTCAGATGAAGAGTTTTGGCTCCGGGTTACTAGAAGAAGTACTTTATGTTTGTCATAGTAATGAAGAGCAACTCAAATATCGCCAATTTGTCGTGATTTTGGGATCTTCGCGCATTTTCTTTGTTCTTTACTGAAATTTTTTGTTCGTTGTTCGTATGCAGACAGAAATTTTCCATAAGCTAATCACTAATTTTAATGCTTTAACGTATTAAACGCTATTTTATAAGGAGAAGCATTTACAGTATACTCTGAAATATTTTTTAATCACTTAATACTATAACAATAATTCGTATCACTGAAATAATTTTTCAGTATTTCCTGAATTAAGTTTTTATCAGGATCATCAAAAGTCTTTCGATATGAAGCATGGTTTATTAATCTTTGAACAAATGTAGTTTCAAAATATTAGTCCTAATTTTATTTTCTAACATCTCATAGTTAGATCTTTTATAATTTTGAACTTACGTTATCTTTTCTCAAATAAAATTCGTAAATTGTGAATGATCAGAATAGCTATTACTCTCTACACCGATTTCAGGAGGTTTTTATAACACAAAACAAGTATAATAATAAATGTTTAATAATTTTAATTTATCTTAATTTAATTTGATCTGTTTTTATATTGTAACAGATATGCAACAACAAAATATCCTTGATTCAACTTACTTATGTAAACTTGTCATTGTGATATATAAATTATACTTTATAATTGAGATTTTCATCAAATTTCTATGCACCTCATACAACTAGTTAATAATAAGTAAATGGTGTATCATGTTGTATATGGTTAAACTTTGTAAAAAATTAAGAAATCATATTGCATGGTTTCAAATTATAAATAAACTGTTTAAATCTCCTTTAATTAGCAAATTAAAATGGTTTGGATAAATTTATGTTACTTTTGTTTTGGATAAGTAATTATCGTTTCTTTTAGAATTTTCTGTTCAATAGCTCATTTTAATAATTAAACATATGTTTGATTTGGATCCCATCAGTGGCCAAGCAGTAAAGTTACTGAATACTAATAGTTTGACCTGAGTTGGATTCCAATCGAAAGGGTTGGCTACATGAGCATTTTTGCAAATTTCCAATGTGTAACTTGGATACCAACCAGTTTCCTCTAGAAAGTCCTCCACAAAAGCACTCCTCCCTTTTGACAAATAGCACTCACATGCTTTGCTGAAGAATTTTCTGTTGAATAGCTAGCTTCATTTATAAAGCAAACTGAACTATGTTTGATTTGAGATTAATTAAAAAATGAAAGGCAACTAAAAGCTAATTATCATTTATTTAAATTTTTTAATTTTTCTCTTCAAGTTAAACAGCAAAATACAACTAAGTTAATATATAATGGAAACTAATACATAATGATCATATGGGATATTTTCTGGGCATTTGATATAAGAAATACAAAAATAAACTGTTGATTGACTCCATAAAAATAAACAGATTTAAAGATTTTATTCCAGTTATTGAAAAATTAGTATATATATTGATTAAATCTGTGCAAATTAAAGATTAAAACTTTAACGTGCAACTGATTTAATAGCAGAGTAGGTAACACTGATTTCTTGAATTTATGGGTTCCTGTGCTAGGCGAGAAAATGCTGACATCCTTAGCTATTTATAATTCATTCTAAGGAAGCATTAGATCTTTGTATAGTTAATTTTCTTTTTAAAAAAATGTACATTAAGATGGTAAATAATGATTTTATGTTTCTACTGGGTTACTAGAACTTGTATTTTAAGGTTATTTTAGTAATGAAGATCAACTCAAATATTACCAGTTTGTCCTGATATATTCTTTGTAGATGTATTCTGTTCCTTTCAAAATGTTTGTTGATCATTTACTTGTAAGATAGTTATAAAATAAAGTATTTTCTCCTGTCCTTCCACATGTCTTCATGGTGTAATTGAAAACAGACTCGATGCATATTCGAGAGTTCCAGGGTTCCTGTGAGAACATTGCACATTTTTCACACCTCCTGCTTCAAAATAATCTAATGACGTCACATAGTACTTAATTGTTCAAAAGCTAGTCAATAATTTTAATGCTTTTGCCATTTTGTAGGGAGAAACATTTATATTATAATGTGAAATATTTTTATAATCACTTTAAATTATTGAAAAATTAGTAATTATATTTGCTATTTAATAGCTGATTTAATAACAGAATTGTTAGTGCTGTGGTTTCGTTAATTTTGGTTCCATTTCCAGCTGAGGAGATGCTGATGTCCTTAATTATTTATAATTCATTCTAAAAAAGCATTAGATCTGTGTATAATCAAGTTTCTTATTCAAAAATGTACATTAAAATGCTAAATAATGATTTAATGTTTCTGAGTTAAATTATAAAAATAATCCAATTTCTTTGTGATGATCTTGCATTTCATTATTAGCTTAAAATGTATTATGACATGGATATGTATTAGTTTACTACTCACACATTTAAAAAATAAATACCTTAAAACTTCCAAAGACTGATATAATTAAAAGTTCAAGATAGTGTGGTATCTTGATATTGTGCTTACATCAAAATTTTAACTAAGCTTTACACATTTGAGCAATATAATCACAAATTAGATAACTGACCTAAATTTCTGTAACATAACATTTAATGATTATGAAAAAGCACACAGTGACTTAACTATCTAAAGATAAAAATTACCTTTATGGCTGGTATTCTATTTAGGATCCAGAAAAACCACAAAGCCACCTTTACGGCTAGCCCATTTCTAATGATTTCAATGTGCTTTGAACTATTAATGTGTGGATGGAGAACCCCAACATACTGATTTTTTTTGCTCAAAAGACTTCTCCTTATCTAAGCAATTAAAATTTTTCTAAAAGACATATATTTCATACATAAAATATCAGTAAATGAACATTTAAGTTTTTTTATATATATATATATAGATATTTTTATTAAAACATTTTAATGAACACTATATATTATACTTAGGTTCAAGTCATAGAATATCTAAATATTAATTCTGATTATTGATTTAGTCCCACACGTAGCTGAGTAGTTAAGACTGCTGAATGCTGGAAGTTTGATCATAGGTGAAAGTACTGGCTGTATGGTTTTTCCTGTGTGTAACGTAAATGTGAGCCATTTTTCCTTAGGGGAGGCAGATAGCCCTCGTGTTCTTTGCTGTATTCAAATATCCTAATCTAAACTTTTATTCATTTTTTTCCATTTAGTGAATATGGCAGAGATAGTTATAATTCTTATGTATTACAGTGCAAGGATAAATTGTTGTTAATAAAAATAAACAAATAAGTTTCATCTTTACCCTCCCCCCTGTGTGTGTGTATGCATGCATAAAATTTTGATTTTTCCATCTAAATTTGTTTTTGCGTTTAATTATTAAACTTGAAATGTCAGTTTAATGCCGCGTATGTAACTCAAGTGCATTTTTATCCAACCACAACTTTTTTTTTTTTTTTAACTGCAGTGTGTGTACAAAACTTATTTCATTTTACTTTGGATTCACTAAAATTTTTAATTCGATACTGCCATTTTACCTCTGCAAGATGATTGTTTTCAGAGATAATCAAATCTTGAGCTTATGAGAAAACAAATCACTCGTGGTAGTTCTAAATTTTTTTTAGCTTAAGGAACAATGTAATAAAAAACATGAGCATTTCTTAATCTTTTTCTTGAATCTTCATTGGGCTACATTTTGTTATTCTATTGAAGTATTTATCATCCTTGCTGCATAATACAGTCAAAAGTCGTTAATCCGGACTCGTCGGGACTTCGGCGATTCCGGATTATCGATTTTTCCGGATTATAGATCATCAGTTTAAATCTGGTAAGATGGCATGCAGAAATTATAAAATTAAAAATATGAAACCGTAATTTATGAAATAAAGAGCAATTATGATCTAAAGGGTATCAAAATTTACAAAAAGAAAAAGCTAAATATTTATTTGTTTACTTTATTAAACATTTCTTTCAATGTAAGTTGTTTAATTTGCTTCGTTTCATGTGATAATACTTTCTCTTTAATTCTATTAAACAGACATAATTTCTTGTTTAATTACAAAGTTCCGCTGTTCAAGTCCTATAATTGCTGTGTCGAGAATACCGACTAATTTGTCAATCGAAATTTTTTCGTTTTCAATAACCTCTGAGTCACTTTCTTCACTATCGGAAGCGAATTATAATGACGAGGAACTTGATTTAAATCATATCAAAGACCGAGTACATCGAGATGAAATACTACATTTAGTAAAGAATTATAAGCCAAATAAAATAAAAACATCTGCCCTGAAGATAAGGATAGTGCTGACAGATCAACTTCCAATTCATTGCGCGCCGTGTCGTTTCCCTCCCCCCCGCAGAGCAGCGTGAAATTGATAAACATATTTCGGAATGATTAGATAATCAAAGGATATGCCTTTATCCATTTTTTGCAGCAATTCCACTTTCTGTTTAATGGACTTCGAAACATACTTTCGCTTTGTAGATCCTTTACATATTAGTAAATATATATCGGAAATTTTATTTGACATAATCGGAAGTTCAAGCTTACTTTTATAAAATTGCTCTAACAGTCTGCAAAAAATAATAAGCCGGATCCAA